GCTTCATCCAGCAGAGGAGATCAATCTGATGATTTAGTAATGTTTCTTTTTTGCATTAGACTCACCGGTGCATGCGCAACACCGACCTCATAAGTCATCAGCCCGGAGCTGCTTCTGTGTACAACTGTTGGCGCAAGCTAGATTAAAGTGATTATTACGTTTTGAATATGGATATTTTTTAGGGATGCTAAGGGTTGCCCGACAAAGTATTCATAGTTGTGTAAATACTGTCATACTAACAGCTGTCTGAATTATTTTGGTTGATTGTAATCTATTACATACCTTTCTATCAAAATTATCTAACATTATCAAGCTGAATTTGTTCTGACACAGTTTAACTCTGAGTTCTTGTCATATTTTATTACCATTTTCTAAACTATAGCGAATAAACTGTGATAATGTGAGAAATGTTGAAGGTGTCTGAATATATTTTGGTTTGACTGTATCTATTTGATAAATGAAGTTAACCAACTAACATCATACATACCCTTTTGGTTTCTATACCCAATATTTAAAAAATGTACAAATGCAATAAAAATATCAGTATCGGTACTTGGTATCGGCAAGTACCAAAAATAAAAGTATCGGTATCGGGCGAGTACTGGAAAAAGTGGTATCGGTGCATCCCTAATATTTTTCTTACAAAAACTAATCGATTCGCTACAGGAGGCCTTTGTTCACCCCCTGGAGTCGTGTGAGGCACTTTTTATTATGGATGGATGCGCTTTATTTCACTTCTTTTGGACTGATGAACTGTAACACCCGCTGACTGCCATTAAACAGCTTGGAAGATCAAAGACAGTTTTTAATATAACTCCGACTGGATTCGTCTGAAAGAAGAAAGTCATATACACCTAGGATGCCTTGAGGGTGAGTAATTCATGGGCTAATTTTCATTTTTGGGTGGACTAACCCTTTAACAGCTGTATTCCTTGTTTGATAGCTACCTATGCACAAAATGTTCTACATTATGAAACTTAACCCAAAAACCTTTAGCTTCGTACACTGTAGACAACTGTGACTCTGCCTGCGGAAACCCAGCTAAAGTATTTTTTTATTTTTAAACAGTGGATGAGTAATTCACTCCTTGATTTGCTTAATAAAAGCCTCCTGTGAGATCGTTTTGACAGACATGTTTATCGTGTATTATTTTCAACGTGTTTATTGCTAAGTTTAGTGTGGCGCAATAGAAGCGCAGCCGTAATTGGCATGCAGTGTATCTGGTTGCCATGACAACCTCACGCGCCTCCTTCTGCTGCTTTATTTAATCAGAGTGTGAATTTGTAGATTTTCTATAGCAAAACTAAAATGTGTTTAAAAGTGCGACTGACCAAATCATCCGGCTCGGTTTGCCCCCCCTCGAACTCGAAGACATCTCTAATTTGACAGTTTACCATCTGATCTCACTCAGTGACTCTAGGCTACGTAGTACGGTATGAAACCATGCAGTGAATGGGGGGAAATAATTTTGCCGGAAATGCAGAAATAAGCCGTAATTTTGTTTTATTTGTAACTCTTTGGTAGATACATTTATAATTTCTAATACATTACTACTACTACTGTTACTACTTAGAATCGTCCTAACTTCCCCCCCTGCTTAGTTTAGTGTCGCAAACGTTGGCAAAATAATTAAATAATAATTTGCGTGCAGTGTATCTGGTTGCCATGACAACCTCACGCGCCTCCTTCTGCTGCTTTATTTAATCAGAGTGTGAATTTGTAGATTTTCTATAGCAAAACTAAAATGTGTTTAAAAGTGCGACTGATCAAATCGTCCGGCTCGGTTTGCTCCCCTCGAACTCGAAGACATCTCTAATTTGACAGTTTACCATCTGATCTCACTCAGTGACTCTAGGCTACGTAGTACGGTATGAAACCATGCAGTGAATGGGGGGAAATAATTTTGCCGGAAATGCAGAAATAAGCCGTAATTTTGTTTTATTTGTAACTCTTTGGTAGATACATTTATAATTTCTATTACATTACTACTAGTACTGTTACTGCTAATAAAACAGATCTCTGGAGGCCCCAAAAGTGCGTGGGCCCTTAGAATCGTCCTAACCTAACATTTTAGTCTAGGACTAGGCTTAAGTCTTGTCTGTGAAACCGGGGGATAGTGTAATAGTGTAAGTTCATTATAACGTAACTGAAATATCAGGGGGGGAAAAACTGATCTAGTCTTTTACACTTCTTCAGAAGAAAAGACAGAGGTAAACTCACATGTGCTTCAAAGAGTTATTTTGCTCAGATTCGACAAAAATACCAACGTCTGGTTAGAGTAGCAAAACTGATAAATGCAATACACGTCATTTACCGAATGTAGTGTGATCAAAGTGGGGAAGTCGTGGTCTAATGGTTAGAGAGTCGGACTCGTAACCCAAAGGTTGCGGGTTCGAGTCTTGTACCGGCAGGGATTGTAGGTGGGGGGAGTGAATGTACAGCACTCTCTCCCACCTTCAATACCACGACTGAGGTGCCCTTGAGCAAGGCACCGAACCCCCAACTGCTCCCCGGGCGCCGCAGCATAAATGGCTGCCCATTGCTCCGGGTGTGTGTTCATGGTGTGTGTGTGTTCACTGCTGTGTGTGTGCACTTTGGATGGGTTAAATGCAGAGCACTAATTCCGAGTATGGGTCACCATACTTGGCCACATGTCACATCTTCACTTCAAAGCTGAACATGTTGTGTTCTGATATATTTATATCTAATGGTTGGGGAAACAGCTCTGACATCAGCATGCTTATTATTAGATGAATGTGGTCAGTGTATCTGTCAGTATTTGCAGGCCTAATTTTCTCTCCTGTTTAAATTAATTAAACATTCTGACTTCCACTCCATACAAAACATCATCTGAAAATATGAGAGAACACTTTTTTTTACACACAGTTATAACAGGTTCCTGCTTTATAAAGCCATTAGAGAAACGATTAAATCAGTCTGAAAGGAGAAAAATTTGAGAAATTATCATAAACGAGCTGAAGACAATTACAGGAGAAACCAGCCAAACACTCTCAGGATCTCATGATCAAATGCTGCTTTAAGACACTTTTAACATGTTATGGTCAGTTTATTTATGTTGAAAATGACGCCATTGATCTACAGGAAGCTGTGGCCTACTCTTGCTCAAAAGCGCTGGACGGTCACACACAAAAACACTGAATAAATAGATGGTTATTTAGCTGACGGTGGAGTTTCACATCACTTTACTACAGAGCAGCCTCACATCAGCTCATCTGTCCTTTCTTTACTGAACCAGTTTGTCGTTTAAATTTGTGGACTGAAACCATTGAAGATGTTTGACAGATTTTGGTTCTGTTTGTGTTTGTGGAGTCTTGGTGAGTTTGAAATGTGTATATATTTTTTTTCAAATATGTTTGTTTGTTTTTCTAAAAAAACAGCAGCAGATTTAGTTTCAGTCGTGACATGATTCTCATCTGAAATGTTTTCTGTGTATGATGTTGTGGAGATTAAATCAACTTCAGTTCCTGCATCAGCAAATAAGAATTTTATTCAAAATCACCACAGAGATGCAGTTAATAATCAGTTTTGTTGTTTGGATATTATTGGTCTCAGATTTAAATTTCAAACTGTTTACTTCAGAAAACCATCGTGAAGTTATTTAAAGTCTTCAACCGTGACAAACCCTGTTTGTGTTTGTTGTTCAGGTGTGTTTGCTGATTCAGATGCAGTGAAGTCAGTGTCAGTGATGGAGGGAGATTCAGTCTCTCTACAGACTAACACTGAACTACAGACAGAAGATGAGATAATGTGGACATTTGGACTTTTAGGGACTCGTATAGCTGAAATAATTAAATGTTTTGAAAGATTCTCCACATATGATGTTCTTGATGGGAGATTCAGAGACAGACTGAAGCTGGATCATCAGACTGGATCTCTGACCATCACAAACACCAGAACCACACACTCTGGACGTTATGGAGTGGAGATCATCAGGAACAGGACAGTGATCACATACAGATTCAATGTTACTGTCTCTGGTGAGTCACAATTACAGTGTCATTTGTGCTGCCAGTTTTCATAAAAAAATATTTAAAATATTTTCATGAACCAAAATATTTCATTTCATGAAGTCAAAAAAGCAGAAAAGCCTGCACACAATGTACTTTGTTTAGAATATCTTTAAATACATTTATTCAGAGACCATGAAAATGTCAAAAGTGTTCAATGCAGAGGCAGAATGATTTTGATATTGCATCTAAATCTGTATGAAAGCCCAAGGATGCCATCCAGAGGTATCTTTATGTCTATAACTTTTTTTTAACGCTTGGACAAGGCTGAACAAGTAAAGACATGCCCGTACAAGTATCAGCAGGCGGTCTATATGTATGGGTGGAGAGATTGACTTGTTCATTGTGCAAGAAAATGGACTACTGCATGTTTCTTTCTTCTGTGAGTGATTGATTAAAAAAGTAAGTTATCCGTTTTACATTCTATGCTGGCACAAAATCATGTCGCTGGGCTAATGGACCAGACTTCTTGCATCAATCAGAAGCCTCCTGGCCAACCATGCCAGCTGCTGACCCTGAACCGGACACTGAATTAAATAAATCTGCACTCTGCCTGCACCTATGTACCAGTCTTGATGTCCAACTCCCAGACGCATATCAGTATAACACATGGAAGGACTTGGTAAAGGCCACAGTGGCGTGCCTACACGGGGCGGCTCAGCCTTCCACCCAGACAGATGAAGCCGAGCATTATTCTGAAGCTGAGCGGCTCCTCCTTCAACAAGCTCAAAGGGATTTATTTCCAGAGGAGGTCAAGGCTCTCTCATCAAACTGACCCTTACCATCTAATAGCCAGTTAGTGTCCCTGTCTCCTGAATATGATGAAGTTGCTGGGCTAATTAGGGTTGGAGGGAGACTACGTCATGCTGAACACATAGACCTTAATGCTCTACATCCCATAGTTCTCGACCCCCATCAACAAATAACAAAACTCCTTAAGGAATATGATGCCAATCTCCTTCACCCTGGGCCAGAACAAGTCCTTGCAGAGCTCAGATGTCACTATTGGATTTTGAGAGGCAGAGCAGTCATCAAAACCCAACAACTTGCATGCATTGAATGTCAAAAGTGGCAGGCCCAACCCAAGATCCCTATGATGGCAGATCTCCCACCAGCTCGTCTTAGGCTTTTGCAAGCCCCCCTTCTATTCCACTGGAATGGACTGTTTTGGACAATTCACAGTAAAAATAGGACGACGAACTGAAAAGAGATGGGGAATAGTCTTCAAATGTATGACTCCCGATGCCTCCATCTGATTCTACTCGAGAGTCTGGACACGATGCCTTCTTGATGTCTCTACGGAGATTTATCGCTAGACGAGGCAAGCCCTTTGAGCTCTTCTCAGATAATGGCACCAACTTTACTGGAGGGAACAGAGAGATTAAAGAGGCATATGAAGCTATGGCACCCCAACTCAAAGAGCAATTAGCTGAACAGAATATCTCCTTCAGATTTATTCCTCCCAGCTCTCCACATTTTGGTGGTATTTGGGAGAGGGAAGTCAAATCAGTGAAACAAGCTTTGAAAGTCATTCTAAAGGAACAGACAGTCCCTGAAACTGTCCTCCGCACTGAATGAATGCCATGAATGCCAAGCCTTTAGGCTATGTATCATCCGATATCGCAGATCCAGACCCAATCACACCTAGCATCCTGCTTATGGGACGCCATGACTCCTCCCTCCCACAAGTGATGTATAACTCCAGCAATCTACTAGGAACCAGGAGATGGGGACATAGTCAGGTACTTGGGGACCAGTTTTGGGCCAGATTTATTCATCTCTACCTGCCAAGTCTGCAGGAAAGACAAAAGTGGCAAAAGGACAATGACCAGCTCAGGGTCGACCAGGTAGTGCTCATCATGGACCCTCAACTTCCACGAGCCCTCTGGCTAGTGGGCAAGGTGACCCGTACCTTCCCTGGACCTGACGGATGGATAAGGACAGTTGCAGTTCAGGTTCAGGACCAAACTTATGTCAAACTGGTGGCTCGGCTAATCCCACTTCCCAAACTTGAGGATGATGACAGCTCCAATCCTGCCACTTTGGTAGGGCTTACTACTATGTTCAAATGTCCCGAGTGACATTTGGGGCCGGAAAATCGTTGGGCTATGTATGAAAGCCCAACGATGCCACCCAGAGGTATCTTTATGTCTATAACTTTTTTAATGCGTGGACAAGGCTGAACAAGTCAAGACATCAGTACAAGTATCAGGAGGCGGTCTATATGTATGGGTGGAAAGATTGACTTGTTCATTGTGCAAGAAAATGGACTACTGCATGTTTGTTTCTTCTGTGAGTGATTGATTAAAAAAGAAAGTTATCCGTTTTACATTCTATGCTGGTCAAACTGAAATATTTTTTTTCATTCTGTTATTGTCCCCTGTAAACTTTACTAGTTCAAATAATGACTTGAATAGAGTGTATAATTCACATGAGTTGCATGCTGACTAAGTCTATGCTAAGTCAAATGTTGACACTCGTTTAGTACTGCTTAACTGTGCATGTTCCACTGCATAATTTAGATACATACGCTAAAATTGTACAAATTGTATTTGATACTTTGATTTACTGTCACTGCTGCTGTGTATAATGATAATTTCCTTATGCTAGCCATATTATTGTTTATATTACAAATTTTATATTGTATTCTGTTTTCTCTGTTCATTGTAGACCACACACGCCCGCATACACCCCCTATGGGCAAGTGCCTGTAACACTTCACAAGGATAATTCAAATAAAATCCTTCAACTGGGACCTGCTCTCTTACTAACTGTGTGCTTACTAACTGTGAACCCTTGTGCTCGTACAGAGTCAGTATTTTTGAGTGGTGTGCATATAGTGAGAGTATGTGACAGTAGATATAAAAAAAAAAAAAAAGCAGATGCTGGGTTAATTGTGTCAATTTATGTTTTTCTGATAACAGTAACAAATTACATTAACATATTCAGGGCCATCCTTAGGGGGGTGCAACCTGGAGCACAATCGCAAATGGATCGGGAATGGACCAAGGGGGGCCCCTCTCCCTACCTCGCACCGGGCCCCGCGTCAACCTAAGGACAGCCCTGAACATATTAATAACACATGAATTTGTTTTTAGTGCCTGTCCCAATACACACATATGCATTGACCTCTTGTCAACTTTGTTACGCTTTACTGTTATTTACAAAGGTGTGGGCGTGGTTAAATCCCACGTGTTTGTTTTTGCTCTCTCTCTCTTTCTCTCTCTCTGCTCCTTCTCAGGGCAAATCTGTAGCTCATTTGTGAGAGTGTGCCTGAGACCAAGAGGATATTGGGGCAGTTCAGAGTTTGCTAGGAGACACACTTCTCCGCTGCTCCAGACTGAACTTTGTGCTTGTTTCTCATGTAGAGACAATAGCTGTGTATTAGCAGTGGCTAATTGACTTTCAGCAGGAACTGTTAATGGATATTGTTCCAGGTTGAGACTGAGCGAAAAACTGGTGTCATCTTCACTCTGGCACAGAGGATTGAAGTGTGTTCTCGCCTTTCATTTCCTTGTTACTTTTCTTTTCTCATTGTTACTTCCCCTCCCGACCCCTAGATGCTTACGGGAACATAACAACTTTCATGACGTATCTCCTGTATTTGGCCCAAGTGTTAGAGCAGGCGTGAAGACGATAACCTGTGTTGAACTTTTTTGTGTGAGTGTGAAGAACTTTTTATTAACCAATGGGACACACTTACAACAGAGTGTTGTAAAATGCATATCGATTTTTTAAAGAGCATTATTTTCAGATTTTGGTGCAATTAATACTTTTCACTTTAAAATAAGCGTTTACATTTCTGTATCTATGTGACAATTTAATTGTGGTATTTCTAATCAAGTGATAAAAAGCAGATGCAAATGTTTTAAAAATGCGCATGCTCATCTCTGTACCATTAAAATATGCAACACAAATTATATGTGATATAATTAAAGTAACTTACCCTGCAGCAGTTTTCGGTGCACATGAGTTCCTGAACATGATGCATGATGCGATACCACAAGTGTGTCGAATTTTTCATTACTTGATGGGACACACTTATAGTGTTGTAAAAATGCAAGTGTTTACATAGCTTAATTTTATTTATTTATTTTTTTAATACTTTGCATTTTAAAATCAACTTCTAAATGTTTGTATTCCCTATGACACAATTTAATTTTTGGAGCAGTTGAAAAGCAGTTGCAAATGTTGTACAAAATAAACATCACCACTACTCATCTTTGCACCAATAAAACGTGCAACACTTTGTTTTTCTACCAAATTATCTAATATCTAATTAGCCTATTATATTAATATTTAACTTTATTAAATATTAATAAAGGTTGCAAAATCTCGGCAAAAAGTCTCACGATTTTTTCCAAAACATGATGCATGATGGGATACACTAAGCATCGAATAGCACTCTGGAGCAGTATTCTAGATAGTGTGGATTTAGTGTGCGTTAAGGGCACTGCACTGTGGTGTTTTTAAGACCTGGGACAGTCTTGTGCACTTGCTTCCTGTCGTGTGCACGCGATCTCTCTTATGTGGGACAGACCCTGACCTCGTTCTAATGTTAGTGAATTCAGAATATTCTAAACTAGTGTCTGTGTACTCAAGGCATAAAACACACCCAAACCATCTCCATATAAGAGCATTATGAACAAACCATTCGTACACATATTTAATGCACAAATTTGTGTGTGTTCATGCTTAGTGAATGAGATTCCAATGTTTTTCTGCAAGATGCATGTACGTTTACTTATAACTGATACAGGACCAAAAGTAGGATGTAGCTTCAATCATTTTTAACTCGTTAAACAACACATTTTAACCACAGAAATTACCACATTATTTTACGCAGTCCTTATAAACGCACTGAAGCTCAAACAGCAGCAGCTTTAGTTTCAGTTGTGACGTGATTCTCGTCTGAAGTAAAAGTGTTTTCTGTGCATGACGTCAGTTCAGTTTTGAAAACATCTGAATTTTCATTTGATCCTGTTTGTGAATGATATTTGAGCATATAACTATCTACTTCAATAAAAAAGTCTGTGACAAACTCTGTTTGTGTTTGTTGTTCAGGTGTGTTTGCTGATTCAGATGCAGTGAAGTCAGTGTCAGTGATGGAGGGAGATTCAGTCACTCTACAAACTAACACTGAACTACAGACAGAAGATGAGATCATTTGGACATTTGGACACTCAGAGACTCGTATAGCTGACATCGATACAAAGCATAGAATTTTCTCCACATTTGATGTTCTTGATGGGAGATTCAGAGACAGACTGAAGCTGGATCATCAGACTGGATCTCTGACCATCACAAACACCAGAACCACAGACTCTGAACTTTATCAAGTAACCATTTCCCAGAGACCCCTTGGGACAATTACACAGAGCTAGTTTAGCCAAAAAAACAAGCCACCTCACCAAACACAAAAAGCTTCCTTTAAAATGGCCGCCCTTTCCCTCTTATCCATAGGCCCACCATAATAGGAATCCTTAGAGGCCAACAAAAGTCCTCCTCAAACAAAATGCATGTGCAAATGCTCAAAATCAACATACATTCAGAAGAAAAACTAAACTATACTGTAAACATATAGGCATGGCACATATACATAAACAATTACCTTTTTTGTAACTTAAGTGAGCGTCGTGCAGGGCTTTACTGTGGCAGTGTCACAGAGTCCCCCCCTGCCGGAGGCTATTTTGAAGATCCCCCCCAAAGTATCGTTTAAGGTTCACCACATTTACATTGTCCACCTTTTTCCCCGAACCCCATTCAACAAGATAGTTCACAGGCCCCAACTTCTTTTTTATCTTCACAGGGCCTTCCCATTTAGGAGCTAGTTTAGATGAAAAGAAATCATCGGCTTTTGACATTGGATGAGCACGGACCCAAACCAGGTCTCCCTCTTGGAACTGTACAAATTTCCGTCGGGCATTATAATACCTGGCTTGTTTGGTGTGTGCTTTCCTCATTGCCTTTAGAGCATCCTGC